ATTTTGCCTCTTAAATCCCAGCTGTCGAAATGCTTGTGTTGTATTCGAGGAAAGGCTCTGTCTCTATCAGATTCGGTCACTGTCAGATTATGAATTAATGAAACGACTAAAAACGGGAACCCAACAACTTCTTTCTCCTAGCGTTTTCCCCTTAAAAGGGATCCGTTGTTCGAGTTAAAGACCTCCACATTTCTCAGTCTTTGATAAAATCTTCTGTCACTCCAAGAGGTGAAGTCGTTTCTTCCTCGGTTTTCCCCTCTGTCTTCCCTGGCAGTATCACTGATTGAACCACATTCTAAAAATACTCATTGGGCCTCCTTTTCATGTAACCGGACTAAGCAAAGTTATAAGGTTCCATTGACTAGATTCAGAAGTGTGAGAATGCCAAGAGCTGAACATTGCCTTCTAACGATTACTAGATTAAAGTTTAGGCCACGCCATTTCTGAAAAGACGGTTGTAACTTCGTAAAATTCACTGTTCGATTTGTCAACCGATCACAATATACTCGTTCGTCGCCGTTGTCTACGTACCTTCGTCGGTGTTGCCGGATGCGACCATCAGTGGAACCGGACCGTCGGCTTGCAGACGGGCTGAAACCTTTATCGCCAGCACACATGGTGACCTCGGCGGTCATTTCAGCATGCTGCTTGCAAATTTCCGCGACCGTGTTGTCGAAACTTTCTAGACGGAACGTGACGTCATGCAAGAACGCCCGCAGTCTGCGTAATTCCGCGTTCATCTCATCAACGTTCGTTTTGAAGTCGTCAGCGACATTCAGCACTTCTGCCTAAAATGGAATCAAAGCGGAAGTCAAAGCAACACTCGGCAAGTAGTTCAAACTCTGAAGTATTTACTAGATCTTCCTCCTTGACGACCTCGGTTTCAGGTGAATCCTGGCATGGTGTGCTCAGGTGAGACTTGAGGTATTCTACTTCCTGCCGGAGACGATCGTTCTCCTCTCGAAGACGCCTTGCCTCTTCCTTTTCGCTCCGTATCGCATTGTACAGTTCCACATTATTCAATGTAACACCATAATCAACTGTAAAATTCAACTCAGTGCTAGATGATACGCAGCTTTGCACTCTTCGAATTAAATAGTCGTCTCATCAAAAGTTTCCCTCCTCTGACAGCAGGCCCAAGAAAAACTGTTATCGACTGAGATGAATCATGAAAAGAACAGAAGAGATAGTGAATGGAATATGTCTGATTATTCACTAAGGAACATGTTATACGTAGAACATTTCATCTAATCCCTTTTAGGGACTGCGAAGAAATAGCAAAATGATCAAGGAAAATTCTTCTTCTCTGCTACTCATTGACAAAAGGAGTAAATCAATTGCTGGCGTAAACAGTAATATCAAACGAAGGCAAAGAAACATCTTTCAGCTGCAATTATTTACCTATTTCTACAATTCTGAGCGTGTTCCCTCTAACAGGAGTCCGCTGTTCAAGTAAACTACCTCAAGAATTCCTGGTCTTTGGCAAAATATTCAGTCACTCATAGTAACTTTATATCGTACTCTACGACAATGAACAATCGTTTCCTTGACGTATCTCTTCATTTCTTCCCTGGCAGTATCAGTGACTGAACCAACGTACTCGACGGATCTTCTTTTCACCTGCCTTCGATAAACTTTTCTGAAATCAGTGCTACACCTAAATTGCCTCTTATGAAGGTGTTTCTTAAACGATCCTTTTTGTTGACATCACACATTTATCTCAACATTCGCACTTTTACTGAGCTTAAATATCGCTAGTGCCTTTGCACAATAGCCAAACATGCCGCCCCGTGCAGAAGTACCGATTGATTACTCTATACACCTTTCCCCTTAGTTTTATTGGCATCTTATCCTGTCAATTTCCTCAGCTATCTTACAGGACAAAGCCAAGAACTTGAATTCTTTGGTTTGAGGCAACATGGTTCACTACTCCCACCGATTCGTTGGCTTTCA